TAGACATGATGTAGTCCTGGTGTAGTCCTGGTGTAGTCCTGGTTTAGTCCTGGTTTAGTCCTGGTTTAGACCTGGTTTAGACCTGGTTTAGACCTGGTTTAGATCAGATTGGTCCAAACTAGAGACACTGGGACATTTCTTTTACAAAACTGGGACAAATCAGTGGTTTTATATAAATCTACTGAGACAGAGGACCGTCCCGGTAAACAGTGAGCATGAATCTATAATAAAACCGTTTATTATTCAGGATTTATTCCAGTTTTGTGCCGGATGTGTCCGGTCTTTAAACCAGCAGCACTTTAGCATCACATTAGCATCACATTAGCATTAGCCGAAGGTCACGGCGCCGGGCCCCGGGTCCGCGCTCCGGGTCCGGCTCTAGTCCCCCGGGCCCCGTGAGCCCCGCCGCGGACCCGGGAGCAGCGGTACCGGGAGCCCGCAGCGCCGGTCCCGCACACGTCCCGCAGAACTCACCGTTTAACGCGCGACCCGCACCGACCCGCAGACACCGCAGCAGAGACGCCGCCATCTTACGTCTGTCAGGGCTTCTCCGGACGCATGCGCAGACGAGAGCGCCCTCTGTCTGCGCGGAGGAGTCACAGCGAGTTTATACTGACGCACTGAGGACTCGAGTCTCTGACCTCGAGTCTCTGACCTCGAGTCCCAAGTCAAATACAGGCAAGTCCCAGTCAAGTCTCGAGTCACTGGCCCATGAGTCCAAGTCAAGTCCAAGTCAAATACAAACAAGTCCAAATCGAGTCTCGAGTCACTGGCCCATGATTCCGAGTCAAGTCAAGTCCAAGTCAAGTCTCGAGTCATTGGCTTATAAGTCCAAGTCAAGTCCAAGTCCGAGCTTCAAGTCACTGGCCCATAAATCCAAGTCAAGTCCAAGTCGAGTCTCGAGTCACTGACCCATAAGTTCAAGTCAAGTCCAAGTCCGAGCCTCAAGTCCCTGGCCCATAAGTCTAAGTCAAGTCCAAGTCAAGTCCCGAGTTACTGGCCCATGAATCCAAGTCAAGTCCAAGTCCAGTCTCAAGTCACTGGCCTATAAGTCCAAGTCAAGTCCGAGTCCCGAGTCATTGGCCCATGAGTCCGAGTCAAGGCAAGTCCAAGTCAAGTCTCGAGTCATTGGCCTATAAGTCCAAGTCCAAATCAAGTCCAAGTCGAGTCCAGAGTCACTGGCCCATGAGTCCAAGTCAAGTCCAAGTCGAATCCAAGTCAAGTCTCAACTCACTGGCCCATGAGTCCAAGTCCAGTCTATGAGTCAAGTCGTCTCCTTTGAGCTTCAAGTCAAATACAGCTTTGATTTTTGCACTTTATATGAATTTTAATTTAAATTATACTTAAAAAGTCACAGTATATTTATATGTGAGTATTTATATAAGTCTCAAGTCCTAAAAATAGAGACTCAAGTCCGACTCAAGTCCAAGTCACGAATTGCAAGTCCCCACCTCTGATATTTATGCAGCGGTGGAACGTGACAAAGTGAAAGTAGTAAAGTGTGGGACAGGTTTGTGTCTTTAATATTAAATAAATATCACACCAAAAAAACATTTCATGGTCCAGAAACAAATCGCACCAGCCTTGATGAGCTTCATTTGACTGGAGCCGAACACTGTGGGTCTTTACACACAGTGACGGAAGAACAGGCCACACCTCAGGTCACAGTTCACATTTTATTTGTCACATTTGGAGGACATGTTTTTAGTGCATGCAGCAGATTTCACATGGGACACAAACACCACACAGTGAACACACACACACACACACCATACACACATGCACCATGCACACACACATGCACACACACTCAGACACAGGAGCGGTCAGTGGTCAGGGCAGTGTGCGGTCAGTGAGGAGGACAGAACACACACAGATTCACAGTTGGTTTCACCTTCTGCCTTTACACGTCTCATTCTGAAGATTCCCTGATGTGCTTTTTCTTTTATTTCCTTTCGGTTCTGACGTTAAAGCTCGTGTGACAGGTCTGGTTTGGTGAAGAGCGTCTGTGCTGAATATTATTTACCAGAGTTTACACCTGAAGCACGGGTAAAATCTGAACAGTCCAGTTTGCAGAACAGGTTTAACTACCGTAAAATCGGGACTATTGAGCGCACCCTAAAATTGTACATATATCGGTCGCACCTGAATATAAGCCGCAGGTGTCCACGTCTTCAGAAACGTTTTCAAGTTCAGACCGTCTGCTTTTATCGCCTCTGAAAGCTTTTGTCGTCTTTTTTGCGTTGAGTCAGTTCGTCAACGTGTCACCATCGACTCACTGACGTCGAGCTCACGTGCAGCGGCTCTAAAATCTGCATCATCTGCATTTCCTCGTGTCTTTTCCATGAGGAGGTGTGTGTATGAAGTGCAAAATAACTGTTCAAAACACAAACAAACAAAAATCTTAAACACAACGGACTCCAGGCACTCCAAAACAGTAGAAAAAGTTAACACATCGCACGAGGAAAAATATAGTTAAAAGGCCTTTATTTGAATGGTCAAAGCCGACATGTTTCGACCTTAACTGGTCTTCATCAGGACTGGCCCTGGCCTAAGCCCTCGTGCGACGTGTTAACTTTTTCTACTGTTTTGGAGTTGCCTGGAGTCCGTTGTGTTTGAGTTTTGATCCTTTTTTCCAAGAGCACCCTTACTCACTACACGTACTTGCTCCTACTGATTGGAACACCTGCAGCAAACAGCCACATTTTTGTTCTTTAAACAAAAATCTTTCTCGGCGCATCACAACAACAATGTCTTTCCCCGAGATCAAATTCACCAAACATTCTCTTTGTTCTGACTTTAAATCCTTCGATCTCGGGATCGTCGCCAACACAGAATGTCTGACTCTTCTCTGATTGGCTGGTGCCTGAACTCACACTTCAGGGGTTTTTGTGAACCGTCGAGTGTTTTCTGATTCCTGATCTAGTCACTGGAGAGAAATGAAATTGAGCGGAGGCACTAGGTGGCGCCGGACTGGCTAGCATTTATCTGCTGTGTCGCCAAATGAACGGACAATGTGCCAAACAAAGAATTCGTCCATATATTCGCTGCATCGTGTTATTCGTCCCAGGGTTCAAAGTGTGAGAAAAAAGTAGCGGCTTATAGTCCGGAAATTACGGTATAACAATTTTAACAATAAACTCACAAGGTTCATTTGGTCTGGATAATTTATGTTTTTAGGTTCTTTTTTTCAGACGCAGAGTTTGTTTTCGTCCTGACAGTTTGTTCTGCTCCTGCTCCTCTTCCTCAGAGTCTCGTGACGTTACTGTGACGTGTCTGGTCAGATGATTTAAGCAGGTTTTGGTGCCGTCTTCTTACGGAAATGTGCTCACAGGACGATAAACCGGGACGAGGGGCTTTTTTACTCTCACACACCTGAGATACTGTCCTGAGGAAGTGCGACTGCAGGTGGCGCTGTCGTCCTGCCTCCACCAAAACCTGTTTAAATCAACTGAGCCACACGACACAGAAACATCACCAGACTCTGAGGAAGAAGAGCAGGAGCAGAACAAACTGTCAGGACCAAAACAAACTCTGGGTCTGAAAAAAGAACCTAAGAATATAAATGAACTCTGTTTTATTCTAACGTGTCACATGAGCTTTAAACATCTGATCCAGCTGCTACTGTGGCTCTGGTCTCGTCATAAACAGGCCTGTGTGTTGTGCTTCTTGTGCTTTTATAAATTCTGTTGGGGTTTTTTAAAAGTTTGTGCTCACATTTCAGAGGAAACACGTTCTGTCGCTTCACAGGGTCATGTGTCTCCTGATTTTACAGAGGCTGTGTTTCTGGAGAACCTTCTAACCCACTTGGACGCTCCTTTAGTGCTGGGGTGAGGATCTCAGGAGCTCAGAGTAGAGCTGCTGCTCCCTCACGTCGAGAGGAACCAGTGGAGGTGGTGTTACGGTTGATCTAACAGGAACATCGCCCACCTTTATCCCGTGTCCTGTCGATTTGAGCTCCCGGCTCTACTGCACACGACCCCTAAGCACCGTTACAGCGTAAACGCCGTCGATTTGAGCTCCCGAGGCAGAAGTGGAGTCACATTTTAAAAGTGTTTTGGTTTTATTTTCTGTTTGGATTGAATAGTTTGGATTTAATATTTGATTTTATCGTTTTCATTTTCATTACATCGTATTTTTTTTTATCGTAACTTTGTTTAGAAAGGCGCTGGATAAATAAAATATCACCATATCATTGTAGGAAATTCACACTGTTGTCTGTGATATTAGTGTTAAATATTATATAATTAACGCAGTTTCATCTAAAGATTTGAGTGTTTCAGTCGTTTCTTTCTCTTCTCTAGTTTAGTTTTATTTGATATTCAGATCTGGGTCTGTGGAGATGAGTTCTGCAGATTCCTGTAAATGTTTGAATAATGTTTCTTGTGCAGTGGGACGTTTATTTTATTGGAGGATAAATTGTTCTGTGGATCTGTGTGAACTTTAGTCCACATGAGCCACACACACTCACAGAAAAGAGTTTAGATTTGACAGAACTAAAGTCTAAAGTCTGATCCCCGAGTGAAACAACATCAAACCCACGATTCTAATCCAAAGAAATCAAACTGGGAGGTCAGGGTTTGGGTTTGGTTTCATTGGATCTGTACAAATGTAAACGGAAAAACGTAAAGTCGCTTATTTCGACTTGGCATCGTGAATCGATAGACGTCGCTGTCGGTTTAGGCTGCGGGAGCTCATTCCGACAGAACCCCGGGTCTGGATAAAGAGGTGAGAGACACATCGATGACACCTGCCTCTGTAACAGCGTCACCGCCTAAGGTCACGTTTACACTGAAACCAATCACAGAATCAGAAAAGATCTGCGTCCAGACACGTCGTTTCTGTGTCCGAGTCCTTCTCTATCCACACAACTTTGAGCAGATTTGTTTAAGTTTTACAGAAATGAAACTTAAAACCTCATGTCAGTGTTTTCAGACGTCCACACGGTGCCGGATCAGATCTGTATGAACATGAATTTGTGGAGCTGGAGGCACCGGATCCAGAACGGGGCCGAAAAGTGACTCGTCTGACTTTTGTTTTCATTTGCACCAAACACAACGTCAAGTCCAAACTTCTGCCTCGTCTGTGTTTGGTCCTGTTCAGTCAGACTCTGTTCGCACCAGAACTCCTCCTGTGACCTTCTCTAGTTTACACAAAGAAAACACTCTGTTATTATTACTGTGAAACAAAGAGAGACGGTGTAAACGACAGACAGTGTGCTGGCCCTGCTCTGCCCTGTGCCCCTGTGCCCTCGAGCCACACACTTCAGCCTCAACAGGACTCGTACATTCAGAGGTCACATGGGTGAGTGGAAGATTCAGATTCATGGTTGTTACAGTGCGCAGTGTTCAAGAGACAGACATTTACTCAAGTCCAGAGTCCTTCAGGAGTTTCCTCTGTTCATCATCTGTTCATCATCTGTTCATCATCTGTTCATGACCTGTTCATCATCTGTTCATGACCTGTTCATCATCTGTTCATCATCTGTTCATCATCTGTTCATCATCTGTTCATCATCTATTCATGACCTGTTCATCATCTGTTCATCATCTGTTCATCATCTGTTCATCATCTGTTCATCATCTGTTCATCATCTATTCATGACCTGTTCATCATCTGTTCATGACCTGTTCATCATCTGTTCATGATCTGTTCATCATCTGTTCATGATTTGTTAATGATCTGTTCATGATCTGTTGTTGATGGTTCTTCAGGTGGAGAGGGTTCGTGCCTGTGACGGGTTTTGGCTGTTCTTTAATTTCAACTTAATTTGGTAAATATAAATTATATTTTTACACCAAGAAGCAGTTTGAAAAATAAGTGTCAAAAATATGTTGAAATATAAAAGTAGAGAGTTCTATTTGATGACATCATCACACTGGGAGAATTCTGTCCAAACGTTCAGCACAATTTACAGTTTTTCTGATACGTCAAACATTATTTCAACTAAATTTCCACGCTGTAGGTTTGTGGAACTTCTGATTAATGTTTTCTGTGTCAAATTGTAAATGTGTGGTGTATTCTTCAGCCCCATCACCAAATCTTCAACCAACAAACTCCACAAAGGAGAAACATTCTAACATGAACAATTTATCCACAAATATCAAGAGAAGAAAGAACAAAACTTAAAGGAAACGAGTCACACAACAAACTCAACTCATGTTCTGATCCTGAAGAAAACAGAAGGAACTGATTCTGCAATTAAAATTAAAAATAGATTAAATGATGTTGATATTAGCATAGACACAAAGATTTGTGCAGTTGGAATGTCAGACATCTTTAGGACCACAACGTTTCCACACACAGAAAACCATTAACTAGAAGTTCCACAAACCTACAGCGGGACACTTCCACCATTGTGAAAAAGCTCTATAAAGGTCTTATTACTTTATTTGCCTAATAATCATCTCTGTGCACATTAGAAGAGTTTTGTCCCAGTGTGCAGGACGGTTATTCCTCGAGTGACGTCATCATCTGCATCCAGGAACTAAAATTGGGAACCTAATAAATGTCCAAACTGGGATTTTTTTTAAATGGTTATTTCTTTAAGGCCGCCACACACTACAGGGTTTTTAAACACAGACAAGAGGAGAATCTGGTGAGACTTCAAATCTCCAATCGTAAAGACTGCCAAAAGATTGGGACTGTGTTCAAAGTTCACACTCTGCTCTTCTAGTTTCGATCCAAGTCCAAACTGTGTGATTATTATTTGTGAAATGTGGAGCAAAACTTCAGATCCAGGATTTTTAAAGTGTAAAAAGTTTGGAGATAAAGTGTTGGGGAAGTGGAGTCAGTGTGGAGAATCTGCAGCTTCAGCTCGATCTGTGCTCTGTGTGGATTAAAGTGTGGATTGAGACAAATTTTTGTGTCCGACAGAGCAGCGATCGAATCCGACCCGAGTCCGATAAGCATTAAGAGATTTGTGTTCAAACAGAATTAAAATCACACTATTTTCATCGGCCAAATGACAAACGTAGGATAATATTTGTTCCTCTAACAGATACGGAGATGCAAGATACAAACTCAGGAAACAGCGAAAATAATGATTAGACTTTATTCCTCACCTCGTGTAAATTGACAAATTTAAAGTGCAGCGTCTCATCCACATTATCCAGAGAAATTGTCGTTCACAAATAATGAGTCCAGTTCACAAAACGTCTGGGCTGTGACTCCAGTTTTTTGTGTTGTTTAAAAGTAAAAAGTTGTTTGGTCACGTGTGTCTGCATCGAGCTGAAGCTGCAGATTCTCCACACTGACTCCACTTCCCCGACATTTTATCTCCAAACTTTTACGCTTTAAAAATCCTGGATCTGAAGTTTTGCTCCACATTTCACAAATAATAATCACACAGTTTGGACTTAGAGCGAAACTAGAAGAGCAGAGTCTGATCTTTAACACGCAAGAGTCTCAGAGCCACTAGAGCCACTGTTTTTCTAGTTCTAAATATTTGTCCGAACCCATCAGACTTCAGTCGGGTTTCCATGCTCTAGTGTGGATGTAAACAGACACACGTGAGGAACTACTCTCACCTTTTTCTTTTAAACAGCGCAAAAAACTGGAGTCACAGCCCAGACGTTTTGTGAACTGGACTCATTATTTGTGGAGGATAATTTCTCTGGATAATGTGGATGAGACGCTGCACTTTACCAGAGGTGAGTAAGTCTTTATTTTCACTGTTTCCTGAGTTTGTATTTTGCGTCTTTGTGTCCATCACTTCGTCAGTAGCGTCGCTGATGTTTGTTCGTTACGATCGCACACAAAGACACAAAGTCGGATCCTCCTCGAACTCCAGGAGAAGCAAATCGGAGCCAAAATCAGTCAAACTCTCCCGTAGTGTGCGACGGCCTTTAGTCGAACCTCAAAATGATCAAGATCTTAAGTGTGTTTTAGTGAAATGACGAGTCTAACCTGTCATAGGCGCGTTAGAGGACTAGCGCCTCCTGCTGGCCGGGTCGGGGTTTAGGAGGCAGCGTTTTACTCAAGCATCCTTCAGTCCTTTCCTCACGTTTTCTCACGTTTCCTTATTTCTTACGACATGTTCTGTCCTTTAAATAAGTTGATATGGAGAATGTTTCTGTGCTGATGCGTTGCGAGCGGCTGACAGTCGGACTAGCGCCTCCTGTTGGCCGGGTCGGGGTACACCAGGAAGCCGCTGAAGTTGATGTATTTGGCGTGGTTACTGTAGGCGCCGAAGCCCTGGCTCTGATGCGAGTAGAGCCACACGGTGTCGCCGCGGCGCAGCGACAGCATCAGGCTCTGGCTCTGCAGCGCCCTCTGACCGCGGCTGTCGTCGTAGATCATCGTCTGCACCTCCATCTGGTTCTTCATCAGTTTCACCGACAGCCTCTTCTCCGGCAGCTTCCCGGCGTTGAAGGAGAAGTAGTAGACGCCCGGGACGCGGCACAGGAACACCCCCGACGTGATGTTGAAGTCCCCGCCGATGTTCACGAACTCCGAGTCGAAGCTGATCGGACGGTGGTGCGGGAGCCCCGCCCTGGTCACGCCCACGATGCTCTGGGTGCGTCCGACGGAGAAGGCGCTGCGGGGGTCTTCCTCGGGCTCCTCCTCCTCCGAGCTCTTCAGGATGTGCTCTGAGCTCTCTCTGCTCTCTGCTGCCCCCTGTCGGTGAGCGTCTGTCACACAAACACACAGAGAAACACCACAAGAGATCAGGACGTTTTATCTTTTAATAAAAAGTCACGTAGAAACAGAGAGGACAAAAAATGCAGGAAAAGTTCTTTAATAACAAAGAAAGATCTAAAAATCCAAAATTCGAAACTAAACTGACATGACAAGATACTGACAAAGACAAATAAAGTTCGTCTTAAGACTCACTTTTACTCTGTGGATTTAACACCGCGTGAGTCGTGTGCTCCTCTTTGTGTTTTATTTATTTTTTGTTTTGTTCATGAAATGTGCGTCGTTCTTTCATGTTCTAACACTGTTCCCTCGTTAAACCTGCCTGACGAGGAGGTTTTAGAGTCATCCGTGCATGTTTGACTAATCTAGTGATCTCTCCCGGGCCTTATATAGCAGTACGAGTTCATGCTTCTCGTACAGTTTCGTTTTGAACATTTTCAGTCGAGGTGTCGAATGTCGAACCCTCACCCTGATCCTCTGGGTGCCCTCGGTCCTCTGGGTGCCCTCGGTCCTCTGGGTGCCCTCGGTCCTCTGGGTGGGTCTTAGGTCGAGCTCGTTGGTCTGTGGAGTGTCGTAGTCGGAGGACAGTCCCGGGTACAGACTGGGGTAGATCAGGTACCTGTGAGGACGGAGCGGGACGTTAGAGGGTGGAGCCTGCGAGTGTGCGTGTGTGTGTCCGTGTGTGAGTGTGTGTGTGTGTGTGTGCAGTACCCGCTGAAGGTGGTGTAATGTGCCGTGTTACTGTAGAGCGCGTAACGTGGGTCACCGTGGAGACGCAGCCAAACGGTGTCGCCGAAGTCCAACTGCAGCATCACACTCTGACTCTGCATCTGCAACGACGAGACCAGAGAGTCAAACATCTACACGACAACAACAAATACACAACAACAACAAATACACAACAAATACACAACAACAACAAATACACAACAAATACACAACAACAACAAATACACAACAAATACACAACAACATCTACACAACAACATCTGTACGACATCAAATATACAACACAAAGAGTCCAGTCCACAATTTAAATACAAAGGACTGAACTCGATACTCAACTCAGTTTCAGTACATTTGTTCTCGCCTGGATTCGTTTTCTTAATTTTGTGTTTAAAACTCTCCCTTTTACCTCCTAATGAAGTGTTCAACATCCTTTTTTTTCACTACAACCTGTTATTTCACAATCTGCTGCTGGAGTCGTGTCATGTGGCTGAAATAAAAACTACAGGACCAGAAATGCAAAAAGCAAAACTAAACGGAAAATAAAATTCACACTCGTTCATACAAAACGCACTCAAACATGTAAAAACAGACTTCCGGTTATGGAGCGAGAGGAGTAGACTCACGTTTGCCTGCTCCCGCATTAGCTTTATTATTTAAACCTTTTGGACCTCGCAACTTCCTCATATCTTGCATCTGTTGATTCCCGATAGTTTCTTTTGCTACTCTGAATATTCTCACGCAGTCATCATGTCCAAGTCCAAAGGAAAACAAGCCGAAAAAGACGTGGCTAGCACGGCTAGCGCTAGCGCTAGCTTAACTTTGGAGGACATTTCATCGCTCTTAGAAGGACATAGAGAGGCACTTTCCTCAGAGTTCAAGTCCTCATTCCAGTCTCTCACCTCAAAACTGGATTCTGTAGAAGCTTCCATTAAGGACCATGGGGCCCGTATCAGATCATTGGAGGACAATGCAGACTCGCTCGATCAGCGCCTGACATACGTGGAGGACAAGTGCCGCACTTTGCAAAAAGACAATGACTGGCTCAGGGAGAGGGTGGTGGACCTGGAGGGACGCAGTAGGCGTCAAAACATTCGTATTGTTGGCTTACCTGAGAACATAGAAGGTCCCCGACCAACCGCTTTCCTCTCTCAACTTCTGGCTGAAGTGTTTGGCCCCAGCGTGCTCCCTACTCCCCCGGAGATTGATCGTGCGCATCGGACCTCTGGCAACAAACCCGCACCCGGAGCAAGACCGCGCCCTGTGATCCTCCGTCTCCACCGATTCCAGGTGAAAGACCTGATTATACGGGAGGCTCGTAGAAGAGGAACCCTGTCGTATAAGGATCATCCGATTCGCTTTTACGATGACTACAGCCCGGAGGTTTTGAAGCAGCGCAACGAATACCGCTCTTCCATGGCCGAACTGTACAAGCGAGGATACCGCCCGGCGCTCCTGTTCCCAGCCAAGCTGCGCATCACGACGCCGAGCGGGGAGAAGAAATGGCTCTTGTCAGCAGCGGCAGCGGATAAGTTTGTTCAGGACTTGGGCAACGGCTCCTAAACAAATGTGGTAACCACTCTATTCTTTTGCTACTATATAGTGGTTACTCCTCTATGACACTCACTGTTAACGTGTCAGTTTGTTACCGCTCTTGAGGGTTATAAATTTATCTGTCTGTTTTCATTGATAGAGGGGAGACTTGAGCTCGCGGTCTGGTCCGTGTATACTGTACACCGCACTACTGTATATACGCAGCGAGCGCTTTTATGGTATAGGTTAAGTGAGGTTGAAGGGGTTAATATTCATCATCAGGTTTTTTTTTTTTCTTCATTATTAAAATAACATTAATAATTGTTATTGTTGTTCACTAATGCGGTTGCAGAGAGTTAGGAATTAGGAAGTTTTACAGTATGCTGATTGGTTTATCAGAGTTTCGGTTGTTACCTTTTGTAACAACTTTTCTTTTTTCTTTGTTTTTTTGTCCTCTTTTTGTTGTCTTTTTGCTACTTTATTTTATCAGTTATGTGCTACAAATTCTGTATCAGCTTCAATCACCGAACCCCAATATAAGCCTGTGTTACTTTATAATGAGGTATGTTTAGTCCTAACATCTCTTTGGCACCAGGTGGTGCATTAAGACTGGTTAGCTGGAATGTGAAAGGGCTGAATTCCCCAGTAAAAAGGAAGAAAGTAATTAATCATTTAAAACAGTTAAACACAAGAATCGCTTTCTTGCAAGAAACACACTTGAAAATGGCAGATCACCCTAAGCTTCGTTTTGGGTGGGTGGGGCAATTATATCACTCCTCCTTCAACAGCAAAGCACGGGGTGTTGCTATCCTTGTTCATAAATCTGTACCGCTTTCAGTGACAGAGGTGATATCAGACCCCAATGGACGCTATATTATAGTTTTAGGTAAAATAAGTGGAAACAATCTTGCTCTAGTTAATGTATATGGGCCAAATTATGACTGTGAGGACTTTTTTAAGAAATTGTTTTTTTCTCTTCCTGATTTGAACGGGAGTCAACTTATCATTGGTGGCGACTTTAACTGTTGTCTCAATCCGGTACTTGACCGTTCCTCAAATAAACTATACCCCATGTCTAAATCCTCTAAAGTCATAGAACTATTTATGCAACAGTACAGATTATCAGATGTATGGCGGTATTTCAACCCCTCTGCCCAGCAGTTTTCTTTTTTTTCTCCAGTGCATGGCACATTTTCACGAATAGATTTTTTCCTGGTAGACAATAGTTTGCTTTCTACAGTGAAACTCTGCGAATACACACCCATAGTAATATCGGACCATGCACCTGTTACTCTGGATATTTCGCTACCAGGCAGCACCCTGTCGCGGTCTCCATGGCGACTCAACCCATTATTACTCAATGACCTAGAATTTGTTAAAGTTATTGGTGAGCGCATAGACCTTTTTGTTTCAACTAATGTCACACCAGAAATTTCTGCAGCCACGACATGGGAAGCATGTAAGGCTTTTTTGCGGGGTGAGATAATATCTTTTACAGCTTACCAAAGAAGGGTTGCATCTCAGAAGAGCAATGCTCTTTACAATTCTATATCTGAATTGCAAACTAAGTGTGCAGAATCCCCTAACACAGAATTGATCAAGGAGCTGCTCATAAAAAAGGCTGAATTTGATTCATTGGCCACAGATAAGGCTGTGCAATCACTGACCAAGACTCGTTATAGTTACTATGAGTTTGGGGATAAGCCTAACAAGATACTTTCCCACCAGATCCGGCAGTCAACAGCAGCTCAGCATATTACCGAAGTCTATGTCTCTGATGTACTTACAATTAACCCACAAACCATTAACGATACATTTAAAGACTATTATTCCTCCCTATACACAGCTGAGTGTCTGCCAGATGACAACTTTTATGAAACTTTTTTTTCACATTTTACCATTCCTACAGTTGCACCAGATAGAGCTGCTGAACTGGATGTGCCTTTCACCGCTGAGGAACTCAGGAATGCTGTCATGTCTATGCAGAGTGGGAAAAGTCCTGGTCCTGATGGTTTTCCATCAGAATTTTATAAGGTTTTTATTGACAAACTGTCCCCCCTGATGCTCAACATGCTGCGGGAATCCACTGATTTGGGTGTCCTCCCGGTCACTTTACGACAAGCTACCATCTCCTTTATTTTAAAGAAAGACAAAGATTCCCGTTTCTGCAGCAACTACCGTCCCATCTCATTGCTGTGTGCAGATATTAAAGTTCTGGCTAAAATGCTAGCAAAGCGAATAGAGTCAATAATGCCTACAATAATTAATCCAGACCAGACAGGCTTTATTAAGTCCAGACATTCGTATCACAATATCAGGCGCTTTATGGACATCTTATACTCGCCTTCAACCTCTGACACCCCCGAAATAGTAATCTCCATGGACGCTGAAAAAAAGCTTTTGACCGGGTAGAATGGCCCTATTTATTTTACACCCTGAAACGCTTTGGTTTTGGTGATAAGTTCATATCGTGGATCAAATTGTTATATGCTCGGCCCATGGCACGAGTGCGCACTAATAATAATTACTCTGAATATTTCTCCTTGGGCCGTGGAACTCGGCAGGGTTGCCCCCTGTCCCCCCTCCTGTTTGCAATAGCCATAGAGCCACTTGCAGCAGCCATCAGATCCAGCTCTATGCATGGCATTTTGAGGGGTGGCTCAGTACATAAAGTAGCCTTATACGCTGATGACCTGTTACTGTTTGTTTCGGATCCAGGTATCTCCATGCCCCCGGTTCTGACTCTGCTAAAGGAGTTTGGACAGATTTCAGGGTATAAATTAAACCTTAATAAAAGTGAACTCCTTCCTGTTAACCCTGCTGCCATTACATACCCTCTTTCCAGCTTACCTTTTAAAACATCTGCACATAGTATTAAATATTTGGGTATTCATGTAACCAGGGAATTTTCAGATCTTTTCAAGACCAACTTTAATCCATTACTCGACCAGTTAACTCTAGACCTGCACCGTTGGTCCATGCTGCCTCTCTCTCTGGCGGGTAGAATTAGTTGCATCAAAATGAACATACTACCTAAATTACTTTATCTTTTTCAGTGTATACCAGTGTTTATTCCTAAACGTTTTTTTCAGTCACTTGACAGCACTATTGCACAGTTTTTGTGGAACAAGAAACCTCCCAGAATACGAAAGATTATACTGCAAAGAGATAAAGAAAATGGAGGCCTTGCCTTACCAAATTTTTTATTCTATTACTGGGCTGCTAACATCCGTACAATGTTGTTTTGGTGCCATACTAATGATGTCATGCCAGTTTGGCTGCCAATAGAGGAGATCTCATGTGACTCTGCTTCTCTACTATCCCTTTTGTGTCTACCCCTTAAATCATCACCCACATCATACTCTAATAACATTATAGTTAAGAACTGTCTTAAAATTTGGACCCAGGTTAAAGAACATTTTGGATTTCAGGGAATACCTCTTCTGTCCCCTTTCCACTGTAACCCTTTGTTTCCCCCATCATTAACTGATGGGACATTTGCTGTATGGAGGAGCCATGGACTGGTTTCTGTAAAAAATTTCTACATAGAGGGGGTTTTGGCTTCTTTTGCCCAATTAGCCTTAAACTTTAATCTACCCAACTCCCACTTCTTTAGGTTTCTACAGGCCCGAAATTTCATTGGTAGACACTTCCCTAGTGCTCCTGACATTCCTGATGGTACCATCATGGATACTATCATGGAGATCAGGCCCTCTCTGAAAGGTGCAATTTCCAAAATATATAGCCTATTGTTTTCCGCTCTCAAAGTAACATCTGATCATCTTCGTGTGGCCTGGTCTGAGGAACTTGGTGTGGAGATTGATGAGGAACAGTGGAGGTCCGTCCTCAGGCACGTCCACTCTTCTTCAATCTGCGCCCGACATTGTATCATTCAATGTAAAGTGGTCCATAGAGTGAAGTGCACTGGTCAAAGAGTAAGCTTGCCCGAATCTTCCCAGGCACTGATCCTAACTGTGTAAAATGCAAATCGGGCCCAGCTAATCTCACTCACATGTTTCTAACCTGTCCTACATTATCAACATATTGGAAAACTATTTTTGAGTCTCTATCAGTTGTTTGCAATGCTAGGGTCTGCCAGTCCCCATTGACTGCTCTCTTTGGGATTCTTCCAGCCGGTCACTCCTTGTCACCCTGTTTTGTTGACCTGGTGGCTTTTCTTACACTGTTGGCCAGGAGGGCTATCCTAATGCGCTGGAAAGACCCTCACCCACCCACTCACTCCCAGTGGATAAAAGATGCCCTTTCATTTATGAAACTGGAAAAAATAAGACACTCTCTCAAAGGCTCTGGCTCTAAATTTACTGAAGCCTGGTTACCTTTTATTGATCATGTAATGTCTCTGACATTGGAGGTGACCCCATGAGCTGTGTTGCCCTATAGCATGTATCCATGGGTATCGAGTGATTGATATAATCTAAGATAAATGTTATAGTAGCACATATTCTGTTTGTTTGTTGTTTTTTTTTGTTGTTTTTTTGTAGGCCCTTTTTCTGTTTTTTGTTTTTGTTTTGGTTTTTTTTTGTTTTTTTAAAGGTGTGTAAATTGTGAAGTATTTACATTGTATACCAGCCTTGAATATTATACATCTTTATATAATTTGTCTTTTATATTTTGAAAAAGCATAAATAAATCATACATAAAAAAAAAAAAAAAAAACATGTAAAAACATCTTTTTGGACATAAAAAATGTTTAACTTTGGGCCTTAACTGCAAAAGTGCAAAATATCAAGTGTCTAAATGAGCTAAAAATCTCCTTACTGCCTCAAAACAAAAAAAAAGTGCAGTATCCTCATGACTTGACTGGTGCAGGTCATGGACACAGCTGGAGTCAGGTCCAGGTCACAGAGACACATCACTTCTGTATTTCCATGGAGTTTATTACATTTGGATTTGAACATTTGGACTCAAATAAACCTTTTTACACAGACCCAAAATGTGTAATTTTACATTTATTTGAGAAATCTCTGCACTTAGAGCAAATTCTTTTTCAATAGTTTTGAACTCAGACGCTCAGAGCATCGACCGGTTTGACTCACTACACTCTTTGGCAAAGTTTGGACAAATTAAAATGGACGAAGTGCAAGAGTTTGGACCAAAACAAAGTTCCTATTGGACACATGTTTATGCTCACAAATGTTCAGCTTTTCAAGGGAAAAAAGTAAGTTTTTATCTTTTATGGCTGGAAAGTTCTGCACGGTTTTATAAAACAAATTCCCAGGTCTCATGTACAAGACTGTCGAGCTGGAAGGTTTTAAAGTCCTGATCACACAAAACTGACTCCTGTGAGTTTAAACCTCCGGCTGCAGATATAAGGAAGTGTCACCAGCGACTGACCGGAGCTGAAGAAGCAGCTTGGATGAACTGAGAAACGTCTTCAACTAAACTAACTTTTGTCCAGTTGACAAATTGAAATTCTCCTTTTGTCATGGATTTTATCTGGACGACTAAGGGATTTTACCCATGGGCCTTTTAAATCATCATATTTTTATATAAAGTGCGAAGGTGTGTAGGAGCTGGAATCACACCTCCAACCTGTGGGTCAGTGGACAAACCCCCCACTGACAGAGCTACTGTGTGTGTGATCCTCCAGGGAGGGTCCAGGTTCTACACTGGTCCATGGTCCATGAGTGTTCACTGGTCTCTGTGCTCTTAAACCTGTTCTGATCCAGCTCCAGATCATTACAAAGACGTTCTAAAGGTTCTGCTCTGTCCTGAAAATGGGATTTTTTTAGGATCAATATCTGCGAAAAATTAGGATCTAGTTTTGATTCTAGTTTTAATATTGATTAGAGTCAGATTTTGACAAACATAGTCGGTCCTGAAGTCCTGAGGTCCTGAGGTCTCGTACCTTGCGCTCATCCGTGTTTTCTTCGTCGTACACGATGGTCTGGACCTCGTTGCGGTTCTTCATGAGCATGACGGACAGCTCCTTGTGAGGAAACTTTCCCACAGTGAAGCTGAAGTAATAAGCTCCTGGGACCCTGCAGGTGAACAGACCCGTGTCCTTCTGGAAGTCTCCGCCCACGTCCACCGTCACCTGCAGCCAGACGAGAAGACGACTGAGACCTGAAGAAACAGACACGATGGACAGGAGGACAGGTGGACAGGAGGACAGGTGGACAGGTGGACAGGTGGACAGGAGGACAGGTGGACAGGTGGACAGGTGGACAGGTGGAGGACAGGTGGACAGGTGGACAGGTGGACAGGTGGACAGGAGGACAGACAGGTGGACAGGAGGACAGGAGACAGGTGGACAGGTGGACAGGTGGACAGTGGACAGGTGGACAGGAGGACAGGAGGACAGGTGGACAGGTGGACAGGAGGACAGGTGGACAGGAGGACAGGTGGACAGGTGGACAGGAGGACAGGTGGACAGGTGGACAGGAGGACAGGTGGACAGGTGGACAGGAGGACAGGTGGACAGGTGGACAGGTGGACAGGAGGACAGGTGGACAGGAGACTTTGGCTGTGTCTGAATGTCTCCCCCAGCCTCTCACCCCTCACTCCCTCCCTGCACTTCGAGGACTCTGGAGCGTCTTTCACAGAGTCACACGCAGATCTCTAGAGTCACGTGACTTTGACTCTGGTGAAAACGTCTAAAGACTGAACCTGATTTGTGTCAAAAACAAAGATCAGACACACAAATGTTTATGGAGAAATAATAATCTGAGTTTTTATCATGATGGATCTGACATAAACAGACTGGACTCTTCAGATTCGTGTCTGAGACGTGGAGATGAGGCTCTTTACACCAAGAGGCTGCAGACGTGAGGACGAGTGGAGCTCCACTTTAGACCAGAAACATGTGACCTCCACTTCTGTGCAGACACGTGGAGCGAGTGGAGCTTCACTCTAGAACGGAAAATGTTGATTAAATAAGACTGTGTGTGTGGTTTATAAAACGTTTTGACGGTCTGGAACTTGTTCGCACATATTTTCAGGGTGTGATTTGTAGAGGTGTAATTCACCTCGGCTGAATTATTTTCTAAAATATCTCTCCTCTGGTTTCTCGTCACGTCGCTCCTGGAGCCTGTGGACGAGTCCAACTACAGAAGAGACGTCTGTCAGCTGGAGACCTGCTGCAAAACAAACAATCTGTGCATCAGTGTGAAGGAAACAAAGGAGAGATCACAGTGGAGATCTTCTACTGCTTTAAAAACCTGAGAGTCCAGATCATGAACAATCTCAGCTGGTCTAACAACAACAACAACAACAGCTGCAGAGTTTTTAGGCGCCTCAAAAAAACATTTCTGGGCCGATCTGTCCTGAAGGTTTTTACAGGAGTTCGGTGGAGAACATCCTCACCTCCAACATGACCATGAGGTTCAGCAGCAGAGAAGAAAACTCTGCAGAGGAGGAAGAACATCTGCAGCTGTTTCTGTCCTGCACCAAACACGTTTACATCAACAGGAGCAGGACAAACTCCACAGCATCATGAAGGACTTCACAGATCTCCCATCAGACAGAAGACAGCGCCACCTACAGACCAGGACCTGCTCCTCCAGACTCCACAACAGTTTTTACCCTGATGATCAGTTCTGTCAGAAAACCCGGACACTAATGCCCCTCACAAGACACCGCGGAGTTGGAACACAGTTTTGAAAATGGGGCAGGTGGGGCTGTTTTTAAAGACTTTATTTGACATATGATATTTTAAACTATTTCTTCTTCTTCTTATTTGTGCTGCTGTTGACCTGGACCTGAGTGCAGCGTTGAGTTTCTGTGTATTTTTATACTGAAATGTGGAGGAGAAAATTCAGTTTGTCGACTGGACAAAAGTGAGTTTGGTTGAAGACGTTTCTCAGCTCGTCCAAGTTGCGTCTTCAGTTCTGGTCAGACTCTGGTGACTCTTCCTTCGATCAAACCAACGACTCTGAAACTAACACACACTTGTTTACAGTCCAAGAAGCAGCCTGGATGAGCTGCAAAACGTCTTCAACCAAACTCACTTTTGTCCAGTCGACAAACTGAATTTTCTCCTCATGGATTCTACCTGAACGACTGAGGGATTCTTCACACATTTATACTGAAACGACGGATAGATTCTGATTCTGATTCTGACGAGGCTTTGGGCGACGAATCATTTGTTAGAAAATAATTCTCGTTCTGGTCAAACTAACTTTTCTTTTTGCATGTTTTTTCTCCCAGTTATGATCGTCTTTCTCCACGTGAATCGTCCACTGAGAAGAATAAATCTCCTTTTACGAGGAGATAAAAGGAGGATCAGCCGAGGTCACGACGCTCAAGACTTTTTATTTTATTTTATTGCAGATTTTCAGATTTTCCGCTCGAGTGACGAGAACACGACGGTTCAAGTTTCACTGTGGGACATTTTGAGTGAACGACTTTTCCAACTGGACATTTTACACTCAGTAAAAATGTGAGACTCTTCAACAGCGCCAGTGTGCACATCCAGACACAGCCAAGTGCACAGGTGACTGGGTGCACAGGTGACTGGGTGCACAGGTGACCCGGTGCACAGGTGACTGGGTGCACAGGTGACCCGGTGCACAGGTGACTGGGTGCACAGGTGACTCGGGGGACAGGTGACTGGGTGCACAGGTGACCTGGTGCACAGGTGACTGGGTGGACATGTGACTGGGTGGACATGTGACTCGGTGGACAGGTGACTCGGGGCACAGGTGACTCGGGGGACAGATGACTGGGTGGACAGGTGACTCGGTGGACAGGTGACTCGGGGGACAGATGACTGGGTGGACAGGTGACTCAGGGGACAGGTGACTCGGGGCACAGGTGACTGGGTGCACAGGTGACTGGGTGCACAGATGACTGGGTGCACAGGTGACTCGGGGGACAGGTGACTGGGTGCACAGATGACTGGTGGACAGGTGACTCGGGGGACAGATGACTGGTGGACAGGTGACTCGGGGGACAGATGACTGGGTGGACAGGTGACTTGGGGGACAGGTGACTGGGTGCACAGATGACTGGGTGCACAGGTGACTGGGTGGACATGTGACTGGGTGCACAGGTGACTGGGTGGACATGTGACTGGGTGCACAGGTGACTGGGTGGACCTGGTCGAAGGTGACGGCCAGGTGCTCCCCTCCTCCCTCCATGGAGCTGGATCGGGCGGCGGAAAAGGCCGAGCGGAGACTCAGGTCCGAGCAGAGTCTGGAGAATCCGCTCGCCGAGGGGAGGGGCCACAGCAGCAGCAGGCCAATCAGCACGCGGCACGGCCAGACGAGACGGCCAATCATCATCCTGTGTGACGCTGACATCATCACTGCAGAAACACAAACACAACACAGATCCTTAAAGAGACGGTACGGGACATTTCTCTGGGTTTAACTGTGACACGTTTTTACATCAACATGTTTCTTTTTAGTGTTTTGAAAATGCTGCACTGCTCCTCATGCTAAGTCACTCCCCCTTCAGAGTGTTTTATAGTCACCTTATATCACTCTACACACACTTTTTCACAAAGTCTGAAGTGTCGCGCTGTAGGTTTGTGGAACTTCTGGTTAATGTTTTTCTGTGTAAATGTGTAAAACATGTTTGTTTGTGACGTAAACTCGTACACGACCTGAGCACATGTGACCAGAGTTTTGCGTCTTGGTCAGTGTAGACGGAAACTCTACGGTGGAGCCTGTTCAACTTTTCCACTCTGGAGGTGGTTTCAGGTTTTTGTGTTTTTAAGCCCCAAAAACTCCGTCACCGACTAAATCAGAGGTGTTCACACTTTTTCATCATGTGAGCGACTTACAAAATGACCAAGTCAAACAAACTGCACTGAAACACTCTGTGCCCCTTTTTTGGACCCTCCCCCACAGTTTGAGAACCTCTTCTTTAAGAGAACTTCCTCTGACACTTTACACAAAACTGTGAAAAAAGTGAAGGAAGATTTTTAAACCTGTTTTTTAAAGTTCCAAACTGGAGTTTCATTCTTTTCTGGTTTTGCAGTGATATTCACCAGCCTCTGCACGTTTACCAAACCAAACGCACATCGTGACAAACACAGATGCATTTGTCACTTTTGTTAGACAAACTTCAGCCAAATGTGGCAGTAGGTCTGTTCTGTAGATCCGCTCTATGCTGTAGACCTGCTTTGTGCCAACACTGGAACACAAATTTAAACTGTTTTTTGCTTCACGTTTGGTCTTGCTCTTCTAATCAGCCGCACTGTGGGAGGGGCTTGTGTTGGCTGTACGCAGGAAGGAGCGAGAGCGTGAAAAGGCGAGGGGCGGCGTGCTGACGTGAGGCAGGTGGACAGGTAGGATGTTTAGGAAGTTGAACCTGCCCTGTGACGCACGCTGGTACACGAGGGCACACGCTGTCGCAGACGAGCCGTGCATAGGGAGCGTGTGTGTTTGTGATGCGCCGTAGAGTCTCCGCGGGTTTCAAATGAGCGCACAGGCTGCACTGAGACGCCCCACACGCTCCTGCACCCGCTACAAGTTTATTACCAACAGCAGCGGCCGGAATCAAATATGATCACACTTGTTGAGTGTCAGACCTCGAGTGAGAGACAAGACCGAGTCCAAACACGAGTCCGAGACGAGACACGACGATCTACCCACACGACCTTGGAGATCGACTGGTAGATCGGGATCGACGTATTGAGCACCACTGGACTAAACGAAAGACACTTCCCATCAAATATTTTACCCGTAAACGTTCTCGTGTGAACAGACTCTTTGTTAAACATCTCCCTGGACTTTTCAGATGTTTCTCTGTGCTCTAGTTTCTCCTCTCGACCCTCTGGACTTTTATCTGGACTGATTCATGTCTTTTTTTCTCCGTCTTTGCCTCAAAATCAGTTTCCACAGAAGAGGACAGAAGCTGGTCGTGTGTCCTCGGTGTGATCGGAGCGTGACGGAAGCGGAGCCTGTGGAGAGGCTCTGTGCTCCGACCATCTGCCCGCAGGAGAGAGGCGGCGCGTGGGCAGCAGAGCGGGCACTGCCCCTCTGTCCCCAAACAGACCTGAAAGTCACCAGAGTCACACTCAAGAAAACTCTGGTCTCTGGTTCAACATCAAAATATTAAAGTTCCATGTTCTGACCTGATCATCAACACAAACTGATCTGGAGACGAACAAGAGATAAAAATAATGATGTAAAGTCGTGTCTGGTGCAGATCTTGTTGATTGTTGCTGCTAATGTTTTCAGCCTTATTTAAACTCCTCTTTGGACCAAACGAGTGTTTTTTGCGTCTTTTATGTCACGTCAAAACAGTTTTCGATCACATGACAAGAACACGAGTCATTTCTTACACAGCAAAAAGTGTTGTGTTCAAATCGACTCTCACAGAATCAGTTTGAACATTTTCTCAGAGTTTATCTGAGTCTCTGTTCTAGAGTTAATTTAACTTTTTGGAAATGTTAATGAAGTAACACTTAACCCCAAACCCAGAGTTATTTGAACGTTTAGAGAGTAAACAGATAACACTTTGTAGAGTTATCCTGATTTAACTCAACAACACACAGAGGGGTTTTATTTTTACACTTTATTTGAGTTAATTTAAGATGAAATTAGTGTTTGAAATTAGAGTTTGAAGTGGTGGAGCCAAATTAACACTAAGAGAAGTTGAATTAACTTCAACCAAATCAACTCTGGCAAATCACCCCAACTCCAACAAACATTTAACTCTCAAATTGTTAAAATTACACTTTTTGTGTTAAAAAAAACTGTGAAATATTTTACCCTGACATTTTAACCCTTCAGTTTTTACTCTGTGTCGTTTTAACACTGGAGATTTTCTGGTGTGTGCTTCTTCTTACATCATCGTTTCCATGGCAACACGTGAGTCTGATGTTCAGATCTGCGCCTGAACACGTCTGAACACGAGCGCCGACGATCATCACCGACGACAACGACGCACAACAACACACAACAACTACACACAACGACGCACAACAACACACAACAACAACACACAACGACACACAACAACAACTACACACAACAACACACAACAACTACACACAACGACACACAACAACTACACAACAACACACAACAACTACACAACAACACACAACAACTACACACAACGACACACACACACACAACACACAACAACTACACACAACGACACACACACACAACACACAACAACTACACACAACAACACACAACAACTACACACAACAACACACAACAACTACACAACAACACACAACAACTACACACAACAACACAACAACACACAACAACACACACACAAACACACACACAACAACTACACACAACGACACACAACAACTACACACAACAACAACTACACACAACAACTACACAACAACACACAACAATTACACACAATGACACAACAACTACACACAACAACAACACACACAACAACACAACAACACAATGACAACACACAACAACACACAACACAACACACAACAACACACAACAACACACAACAACACACAACAACTACAACAACAACACACAACAACACACAACAACACACAACAACACACAACAACACACAACAACTACACACAACGACACACAACAACTACACACAACAACAACTACACACAACAACTACACAACAACACACAACAATTACACACAATGACACACAACAACTACACACAACAACAACTACACACAACAACAACTACACAACAACACACAACAACTACACAACAACACACAACAACTACACAACAACTACACAACAACTACACACAACGACAACTACACAACACAACACACAACACACACCTTCACACACACAGCAGCTGACAGCGTCACACTGAGCTGAAATCAGCATCAACACTATTTATAAACCAACACAACCAGGACACAACACTGAACACCTGCAAGGTCCACAGAGTCAGTCTGAACACCTGCATGGACCTCAAAGTCAGTCTGAACACCTGCATGGACCTCAGAGTCTGAACACCTGCATGGACCACAGAGTCAGTCTGAATACCTGCATGGACCTCAGAGTCTGAACACCTGCATGGACCTCAGAGTCTGAACACCTGCATGGACCACAGAGTCAGTCTGAATGACCTGCATGGACCTCAGAGTCTGAACACCTGCATGGACCTCAGAGTCAGTCTTAACACCTGCATGGACCACAGAGTCAGTCTGAATACCTGCATGGACCTCAGAGTCAGTCTGAATACCTGCATGGACCTCAGAGTCAGTCTGAATACCTGCATGGACCACAGAGTCAGTCTGAACACCTGCATGGACCTCAGAGTCAGTCTGAATACCTGCATGGACCACAGAGTCAGTCTGAACACCTGCATGGACCTCAGAGTCTGAACACCTGCATGGACCTCAGAGTCAGTCTGAATACCTGCATGGACCTCAGAGTCTGAACACCCGCATGGACCTCAGAGTCTGAACACCCGCATGGACCACAGAGTCAGTCTGAACACCTGCATGGACCACAGAGTCTGAACACCTGCATGGCCCTCAGAGTCAGTCTGAATACCTGCATGAACCTCAGAGTCAGTCTGAAGACCTGCATGGACCACAGAGTCAGTCTGAATACCTGCATGGACCTCAGAGTCTGAACACCTGCATGGCCCTCAGAGTCAGTCTGAAGACCTGCATGGACCTCAGAGTCAGTCTGAATACCTGCATGGACCACAGAGTCTGAACACCTGCATGGACCACAGAGTCTGAACACCTGCATGGCCCTCAGAGTCAGTCTGAAGACCTGCATGGACCACAGAGTCTGAACACCTGCATGGCCCTCAGAGTCAGTCTGAAGACCTGCATGGACCAGAGTCAGTCTGAATACCTGCATGGACCTCAGAGTCTGAACACCTGCATGGCCCTCAGAGTCAGTCTGAATACCTGCATGGACCTCAGAGTCTGAACACCCGCATGGACCTCAGAGTCTGAACACCTGCATGGATCACAGAGTCAGTCTGAACACCTGCATGGACCTCAGAGTCTGAACACCTGCATGGACCACAGAGTCTGAACACCTGCATGGTCCTGAGCTGTTGTATAATCTCAGTGTTTTTGTGTTAAATTCAGACTCGCCGTCGACATTAAAGCGGGGGTATGACTGCGTACGTGACGTATTTTGATCGCCATGGTAACATCTATTGTTTTGTAAATGCTGAATTCTCCGGTCG